CTCCCCAACACCCAGACAGGAGATTTACACTGGAATCATCATGGTTTCTGTACTTTTTGTACAGCTTTACCTTTTTGCACTTGCCTCATTGTCCAGTGGCTGCCCCTTTGGCTGCTACAGAGGTAACCACAGCAATTTGGATCCTTCAATAGAGGGATTTACTCAATTGATCACAAAGTCTGACCTTGATTGGGCTAATTATGAGCTTGGAGTCCAACCCAGGTGGAGTTGGGTGTGGTCACCCTCCTGTTGCTGACTCTACCTCAAGAAGGTAGCACTGGACCCAGTTTGCTGGGAGGTTGGTAATTGCCTTGTTTACTGGATTTGGAACATCTGCCAGAATTAACTCCAGCTGCTTCAGCTTCCTGTGGGACAGGATGCAATTAAAGTCATTCTCAACTCACACACCAGCTTCTGAAGCTGCTGAACACTCTCTTCTCTGCCTTGGGAACCAAGTGAAGAGGTTCCTGAGGTTCCAAACTGCTGGAGAGGCCATTCCTGAGACCTCTGATTGTTGGGTCACCTGGAAATCCATATCAAAATCCTGCCCAAATTTTTATAGAAACAAAAATCAAATTTATCATGACTGCCACATCCATTGACCATTTTTTGCTGAGGAACACGTGCACATAGCAAAAAAACTCATGCCTCTGTGCTTTTAACCTGGAGTTCAACCCAGTTTCCTCCTCATCCTCTTTGGGTTTTTTCCTTATTTTAATCTTTTTTTCTCTTCAGGTCGTGCCTTTCCTTCTCCACCTCCTCCTTCTGAAACCCTTTGGAGTTTATCTCTGCCTTGTTCCAGCACCTCCGCCTGAGCCCGAGGGCATCAGCTGTGTGTGGAGGCACCGGGACACGCTCAGCCTGTCTGAGATCTCAGAGATCAGAGGCTGATATTTGGCATGAGCCAGTGAAGCAAAAAATTAATGAGCTTCTCCTTTGTCCACTCACCACCATTGTTAATAATAACAGCAATAGAAAAATTACTTCAGTTTATTCACAAATCATATTAAATTTAATTAATAAACTTTCACATTATTGTCAGGGAAAGAGGAGATTAACAGGTATCATAATTATGTTGTTATTTTCTAAATTGACGATTTAATATCAAGGGTATTATTGAGGATATTATTGGCTTGTTTACCTTCCTGTCAACCCCAAATAATGAATCATTTATTGAAAAAGATTAAAAGAGTCATCAGTTCCTTGTTAACAAGATTGCAAGTTAAAGTCAGATTTTGAGTTGTTGGTCCCTAAATGAGCCTCACCAGAGACCCTTCCCTTGGGGACACAACGATTTTCCAATCCTAGAGCTGGTGACCTCCCTCCCCACTGTGGGTGGAATCCACCCTGGAAGCTCCCTCTGGCTTCCTCAACATCAAAATTCCAGCCTGGAGCTGTCACCATGGCATTTCACCTTTTTTTTCTGCAAAAATTATCACATTTTTGACATTTCCCTTTCCTTCCTTTCAGAGTCTTCCCACCTTTTCTGACCACGGGGAAAGGTTGTGACCATCCCTGCACAGATGTTTCTGGCTCTGGGGAAGGTCTTCCTGCTCTGTGAGGGCATTCCAGTACTTCCCATGCTCATCACCTTTGCTTCCCTCACTCTCATTGGATCTTGGACTTGATTCCAACCTCTACCATGTTGTTCCATGCTGCCCCAGAGATCCTGGTCTCTATTTTATCTACTCGTGTCCTCCTTCCCCTACAAATAAAATTCCTCTGTGGCAGCTGAGTTGTTCCTCCTGCTCTGGAATTCTGCAGTCCATCGGCTGCTTCCTTCCATTTGTGTTTTGGAGAAGCTCCTGATGGAGTGACCCAATGATGGGTCCTGTTCCTCCTTATCTGCCCTGTTTGGAATGTCCAGCACTGCCCTTTCTCCTCCCTCCATCCTCTGCCCTGGATCCTGCCAATTCCAACAGAATTCTAATGCTTCTATAAAACACTGCCGTTAAACAAAGGCAAAAGAAGATATCCCCCCACCAAAATCATTCCCAACCACCTGAGCTCTGTCTGTCTGCACAAGAATAATCTCTCCCATTTAGGGCCTTCCCAGACCACCTCCAGTTACAGTTTTCTCACAAGGAAGCTTCACTATTTACCACAAAGTGTTGTGAATTCATGGAATTAAAAAAAATTCCTGATAGAGGGATTTTTTCTTGTGGTTTTATAGCAACTTACAGTCTCACCCAGCTCTAGGTCTGTGAGGGAAATTCCATCTGATCTCCCTGTCCTCTAAATGATGGATGTGGGATTCACTTTGGAATATCTGTATCATTAGGACAATATATTCTTGCAGATGGGAAACCTCAGGCTTAAAATAGAAATAAATAAAATAGAAATAAAAATACTCTAAGCTTTGGGAGAGTACCAACGTTTCACCTCTTGTTCTGCAAAAAACACAAGGTTTCTGACATTTCTCTCTCTTTTTTTTTTCTCTTCTCCAAGTCCTTGCTGCCTTCACTGACCACAGGGAGAGGTTGTGGTTATCCCAGGGAAGGAGTGGGGGAGAAAAGGAAAGTCTGTGGGCTAAAAGCATTTTTATGAGTCTGTGTCATCCCAGCCCCAGTTCCAAGTGACTGAGGGCCCTAATTATGCAGGAACTTTGGCAGCTGGAGATCAAGATCTCTCTCAGTGCTCATTTATCTCCTTCATTGGGGAAGTTATTAAATTTAAATACTGGATTTCTTAATGTGCTACTGTATGGCTCTGGCAGTACTTCTCGAACAGTCAAAAGTGCATTGATATCCTTATTTATTCACAGTGTTCTGACAGCGGGGCTTGTAAAGATCCTTCTTTCCTTATTTTATATATTTTTATAATAAAGATCCTTATTTCCTTATATTTAGGACCTGGCTTTGCAAGACACCCTCAGGATTTTAGTAATTTTACGTTTTGTGTTTTCTGTAGTTCTTCCTTCCCACCCCCCACCCCCCCTTTCTTTTAATTCTTTTTATTTCTATTTTCTAAAGTGTTTATGGCTGGTTCATCTCTGGAGGTGCTCAAGGACAGGTTGGATGGGGCTTGGAGCTACCTGTCTGGTGGAAGGGAGATCCTGGAGTCCCTTCCAGTGCCTAAAGGGGCTGCAGGAGAGATGTCCTGGGACAAGAGCCTGGAGAGAAAAGACAAGGGAGAATGGCCTCCCACTGCCAGAGGGCTGGGATAGGTGGGATATTGGGAAGAAATTCTTCCCTGTGAGGGTGGTGAGGCCCTGGAATGTTTTTCCCAGGGGATTCTTCATTCCTGGAAGTGTCCAAGGCCAAGCTGGACAGGGCTTGGAGCACCCTGGAAGTTGTTCCTGCCTGTGGAAGTAATGGGATGAGCGTTAAGTTCCCTCCCAACCCAGACCATTTCATTACCTTATTTTGAGCTTATTTAGATGATCCTATGGGAATGTTGAGGTGTTTCCTTGAGTGTTCCCCTGAGATCTGGGATTTATTAGTCCCATTAGGGTTTGAGTTGAATGTGGATGGAGGTGGATGAAGGTGGTGGAGTTTGGCAGGTTCCTGCCCCAGTTGTGCTAAAAAAGCTCTAAAAAAATGCTCTTAGAGGGTTTGCCTCTAAATTTCTGGATGTTTCCAACATGTCCATCCTGGTGCTCTCCTGGTTCCCTCATTGTCCACAAAATGTCACACTTCTGTCACTGTCTCAGAGGCTTTTCCATGTGGGAGGAACTTCCCCATCTTCTCCAAGTGCCCCCCAACTGCTTCAGATGTGCATGACAACACAAGGGCCCACAGTCCCTGCTCCAATAGCTGTACAAGTGGCCCAGCAGACAATTTTAATGGATCAAGTTTTGGGATGCAGTTTAAATTCATCCTTAAAATCCCAAGACAAAGAGCCAGGTTGAGCCTGTGGTTGTAACACTCTGATCCTGTGAAAACCCATCTCCCTGGGAAGAATGATGGATGAACCAGTGATTCCTTTGTCCCACCTATGTCAGAAAGAGGAAGGAATGACAGGAAGCTCCCCCTTAATCCACAGGATGCATGGACATCTCTTGGGATGCATCCCTGTTTCTGGAGCCAGCTTGACAGGTCCAGGTGTGGTTGAGATATGCTGCCAAGGCTGATCCAGTGCCAGCTCCGATCACAACAGCTGCCCACACCCTGGATTACGGCACGTGGGGTGGGATGACTGCTCTCCTCGCTCCAGCTCTGGGCTCCAGCTACCATGGAAAGCTCTGAATTCATGCTTGGTTTGCCTCAGCTGCTGCGCAGGGAGGGACACATCTCTCACTAATGTTTCACAGGGAGTTGTGGCTGCTCATTCTCTGGGGTCACAACACTTCCTTCCATGATCCATAGGGATTACCTGGAGTGTTGCCCAGCGCAACTCCAGAATTAGACACTCACAAAGTGGGAAGAGGAGAGGTGGAGAGGGGAATCATATTGGAGCCACTACCAGCCCTTCAGAATCACAGAATCATTTAGGTTGGAATAATCAAGTCCAATGTTTCCCCTTGGCACTGCCAAGGCCACCACGGACCGTGTCCCTAGGTGCCACGTCCACACATTTCTTGGACACTTCCAGGTATGGGGACTCCACCCCTGCCCTGGGCAGCTGTGCCAGGGCTGGACAACCCTTTCTAGGAAGGAATTTCCCCTAATTTACAAGCAAAACCTGGCACAATTTGAGGCCATTTCCTCTCATTCTATCACTCATATCCTGAGAGAAGAGTCAGACCCCCACCTGGCTCCAACTGTTCCACTCTCTGTCAGGAATTCTTTCCCCTCTCCCCCACTTGTAAAATCCTGTTAATTGCACCATTTTTAATGTTCATCATAATTCTTGCAGAAGACAGAATTCTCAATCTAAGTCAGATTTTTTACACAGGTTTGTAAAAAGGGAGTAATCAGCTGGAAATCTGGTTGAATTTCTTCAGGAAATGTAGAAAATGAGTAAAATTTAATTAGTACAAAAGGAATGTCTGAGATACCAGTTTGGCTGTTCCTGGTGTAAGGTGAGGTAGGGGATTTCAGAAGGGAAAAGTGGATTTCTCATCTCTTTTCCTGGAAAACACTGTGTTTCCAGGTGAGAAAAGTCTCACTGAACATCCTAAATCTTGTCTATTCTAGCTGTATTAATAACCTCTAGCTACAAACCCCTAATTAAAGGAACTTATTAGGTCTTTTCCAAATGGAGCCAGGGTTGCACAGCCCTGACCACAGGACCTCTGTGTAACTCATGGATTCTCAAACTGGCTTCATCCAGCTCCTTTGGGAGGAAGAGGATCCTGCCAGGTGAAGTCCAGCTCCTCCTAAAGTCACAAAAGGGTCAAAGAGGAGGTTCTTCCCAGGGGAAGTGGTTCCAGAGGTGGTTTTGGAGGAACCTCATCCTAGTGACTTCTTGAGAAATTAATCTGGACTGGAGCCTCCAAGTGGTGCTGCCAGCTGTAGAGTTTGGCTCCCAAATGCTTTTCCATATGTCCCTGGCCACTGAATGTTGGAAAGGTGGAGTCTGGCACAGGGATGGGAAGAGGGATGGATCCTCCCTGTAAGAAGTAAAAGTTGCTCCTGGGATATTCTGGGAATGAGAAAAGAACATGAATGGGAAACAAAGAGCACAGTAGGTGCTCCTTGTGATGTGGTGAGGGGAGGTCAGACACCCCCAAGGACCATCAAGGTCTTGCACCCCTTGAAATACCAAAAGAGGTGGGGAAATATGGGAGAGAATATGAGCAGGGGTAACTGTAATTACGGATGGAGGCTAATGAGATAAGGAGATCTGTCAGCAAAGCTCATGAGTCAGGCAGGATTTGGGGAATTTCACAACTGCCCCACTGGTGTTGGTGTTTATCCGACCTCTCCGGGCAGCCATTAATTGCTGCCTGATTAACCAAACCCAATAACAACATTAGAGACCTGCTAATTACCACGGAATGGAGACAAGCTCCTCCAGAACGTATAAAGGAGAACTTCCATACTCCTCTGGAGTAGCTGAGGATCCTTCATTCTCATTTCTCCTCCTGTTTCATCACCTCCTCTACCAGCTCTCCTGCCTGGAAGTGCTGCCATGAGACAATATTTCTCCAGATATGGGAATGGGAATTTCAGTTCTTCTTCCACTCACTGTGGGACCACTGGTGGTGGAGATGGGAGATTCGGAGGGTTTGGGTATGGGTATGGTAGCAGGAGCCTCCACAACCTTGGAGGGTTTAGGAATGTCTATACTTGTGGAGGCTATGGAGGAGAAGGAGTAAGATATGGGAGATGCCTTGGGCTTGGTGGCTGGAGACAACCTGAGAGGGGATTTGGTGGAAGAGGATATTTCATAGGAGGTTTTCAGAGTGGTGAAACAGGGCTTAGTGGCACCTACAGAGGAGGTTCAGGCAGGGAGGTGCTCAGAGGAGGCCTTAGAGTAGGGGAACAAGGGGCTGGACAGGGATTGGGACAGGCTGGAGCTCTCCGAGGCATTGAGGAGGTCCATGTCAACACCAACCTGTTGAGGCCAATACAGCTCCAGGTGGACCCCGAGTTCCAGCAAGTGCGCTCAGATGAGAAGGAGCAGATCAAATCTCTCAACAACAAATTTGCATCATTCATCGAGAAGGTGAGTCTTGTTCTCTGGTGTTATCTGGGAAGGGGGAGGTATAAGGTAGGTGTCGGTCATGCGGACACTGTCATGTTCCATCCTCTCCCTCCAAAAATCCCAGCAGTGGCTGAATTCCCACAGGCTGTTGTGAAGCTCACAATGGGTCACTGTTAACTTTGTTGTGTGAATCACTTTTTGCCTTGGGATAAAGATCTTGGAGTCATCTTTTGTATCAGGACAATAAAATGCTGGCATGTCACTGGCACATAGACTCACTCCTTTTTTGAGGAAAGGGACTTCTGAGAATATATATTCTTATATTCCAGTGCCTGAAGGTTGTTGATGCCAGCAGGAAAAATGGGTGATAGACATCTTGATGAGTTAGAATTTTTTCTCAAGCAAAGCCAGACCTTGCAAGAACAGGCTGTTTTAGTGCATCCTCTTGCAGGGGTTTGCACTCGCCAGAAATTGCAAGTTAATTCAATTTCTCTGAATTATTACACAAAACACTTATTGGTTTGGAAGCCCTGCTCTCTATTAGGTGGTCTTTCATGACTTTCCATTTCTCCAGTTCTGTCTTCTCTTCTGTTTCTGCTCAAGCCAGCCATGAAAGCTCTTCCACCCCATTGTATCTGGGAGGTGTCTGTCTCTGCTTCTCTCTGTTACATGTGGAGACTTCAGGGTTTCCTGTTTCACCAGACAGGAGGTGTTGGTTACACTGAGGAGGTTTAAGATTCCATAGTCCTGAAAAATTAGCATGTCAGTGACTCTTCTTTCCCTCCTAAACTTTTGGGTGTCCAGGTCACTATTATAGACATTGTGGAGTGATTTGGGTTGGAAGGAACCTTAAAGTTAATCCCATTACTGCCACAGGCAGGGACACCTTCTACTAGACCACTTTGCTCCACACCCATCCAACCTGGCCTTGGACACCTCCAGGAATGGAGAATCCCCTGGGAAAAACATTCCAGGGCCTCACCACCCTCACAGGGAGGAATTTCTTCCCAATATCTCACCTATTCCTGCTCTCTGACAGTGGGAAGCCATTCCCCCATGTCTTTTCTCTCCAGTCTCTTGTCCTAAGACAGATTCCCTGGAGCCACTTTAGGCACTGGAAGGGGCTCCAGGGTCTCCTTTCACTTTTCTTCTCCACATGAACATCCCCAGCTCTAACAGCCCATCTCCTTGGCAGAGATGCCAACTGGAGGAATACTGCCCCTCTGGATCTGTTTTCCCTTCCAGGTTCAATGTCTGGAGCGACAGAATCAGGCACTCTTGGCCAAGTGGGAACTTCTGCAGCAGCAAAGCTCTGGCCCTGAGGAAAGCAGGAACATCAACAACTTCTTCAAGTCCTACATCACCAACCTGCAGCGGCAGCTTGAGACACTCCAGAGCCAGAAGGAGCAGCTGGATCCTGAAGCCTACAACATGCTCCAGCTTGTTGAGGGTTATAAAAACAGGTGAATAGTCACAAATCTGGGAAAGCAGGTGCTGGGATTTTCCCAGGTGATGCTCATTGTGCCCTTGTAAAAGCTCAGCTTTGCATCTGCAGGAGTTTGGATTTTCTTAGCCCTGCTCTGCTGAAGGTGCATTACAGGGCTTGACTTTGATGATGGAAGTGTTTGGTAAGAGTTGAAATGAGAGGAAAATCAAAATTTATGATGATCTCTCCCATCATTTTTCCTTCCCAGACTCCTATTGTTTCTCCCCCTAGCAGTGAGTGACCCAGGATTCCATTTGCAGGGCCCTGGTGGGGAGGGACAGAGCTGAGCTTGGGGTTAAGCTGGGAAGTGTCACCTTCTCTGGCTTAGATAATTTATGTCTACCCACAGCTCTGAGAAGTGGAAAGCTTAGTTCAGAATTACTAAATTTAGGACTGATCAGTACTGACCCCATTTTTTGGGCTGTTTTAGTACCTCTCTTTGAAGAGGGTTTGCACTTGCCAGAAATTGCAATTAAAGTAAAATGAAAATTCAACACTTTCAGTCTTTGGATGATTCTGTTGTTTAATGGTCCACTTGGCTTAAAAATTAAGACAAACAATTAAAGATAATGGATAGATTAATGAAATAGATAATTAATAATAGATAATAGATGATAGATAATAATCTACCTCCTTATGTATCCCAGATTTGAGGATGAGATCAACAAACGCACGTCCATGGAGGAAGAATTTGTGGAGCTTAAAAAGGTGAATAAACCCAACACCCTGAGCAAAATCAAAGCCTTGGAAATAAAACAATATCTGGGTGGTTAACAAGGTTCTCAAGAGCTGAAGTCTTTACTGAGCTTTGTCTAATTTTAACCAAAGTAACTGAAAACCAGAACAAGACTGAGGAGGAATTATTTCCTCTAGAGAATGAATTGGCCCTTTGTAGGACCTTTGCTGTTTTTTCCCTATTCACTCAATCCCAGTCCAGGTAGAATATTATTATTTAGTAATGTCTGTAGATGTCTTAGAAGAATAAAACTGTCTGTGAAGAGAAAATTTAGGCAACTTTTTACTAGAAATATGAATAAAAATGGTATTTTCCCATTTCTCATGTTCCCCAGGAACAATTTACTGCTGCAGTTGGGGTACTCATTTCCCAGCAAATTTTTTCATCTTAAATGCTTTCCTTTTGTTCCCATTGCTTTTCAAATGAAATCTGAGATCTCTATGCCATTATTTGATCCTAGGAATGAAGATTTTATAGAAATATCACAAGAATTGCACTTCAGTGGAGCATTTGGATCAAAAAAATACAAATATTCCAATGGGCTTTTTTTTTTTTTTTGCAGGAACTGGATAGTGCCTACATGGGAAAAATGGAGTTTGATGTCCGAGTGGATATCCTGAGGCAGGAGCTGGAATTCCTTCGGTGTTTATATGAAGCTGTGAGTTATTAAAATCTTACCCTCAGGACTTGAAGGACATGTCTTCTAGAAATTCCCAGAAATTTTGCTTGGGTGGGATTTTTTGGCTTGGAGAATAAATTATCCTTGGACTTTCATGAGTGAAATGGAGTATGGTGTGTCCTGAAGGCTGGAAGACATTGAAAATTACAGGTAGTAGGGGTACAGTGGTTCCTAGGGGCTGCAGGTGGAGAAATTCCAGTGGGAAATTGGCCACAAGGTCCAAATTTTTCCAGGACTGACCTGGACTGACCACAATGACTGTTAAAATCCCTAACCTGGTTTTCCATGCAGGAACTGTCTCAGCTGCAAACGGTTGTTGGGAACACTGATATTATTCTGTCCATGGACAACTACAGGGACCTGAACATGGAAGGAATCATTGAGGAGGTCAGGCAGGAATATGAGGGGATGGCCCACAGGAGCACAGCCGAAGTGGATGCCATGTACCAGCGCAGGGTGAGTGGATACCATGGAAACAGGAACACAAATCTCCTCATTGGAAAAGAAATTAAATATGTGTTGTATCCTCTTCCCATCAGTACCAGGACCTGCAGAACATGTGGGTGAATCAACGAGAGCAGCTGAGGAACAGTCACCAGGAAATCCAGGAACTTGCCAGGCAGATCCAAAGACTCCAACCAGAAATTGAAATTGCAAGGAAAAGGGTAAAGCTGATACTTTCCAGAAAGATTAAATTGTTTAAGTCCCTTTTCCATGTGATATCAATGCAGTATATGGCAGCCAATCATTTGGAGGCAAACTTAGGGATGAAATTTTCTCTTCCCAATGAAGCAGATTTAGATTTTTGGGATCTATATTGGGGTTTAATTGTGTTAATTTACCCAGTCTAATATATTCTTGGTGTTCTGTAACTGAGGAAAGCCTTTTGATTTCCAAGGAATTCTAGGAGGGTGTGAAAAATAAGGGATTTTTGGGGTTTTCCTGTGCTGGTCTAGGAGTTGGACTGGATGATTCCTGTGGTTCCCTCCTGACTATAGATATTCCATGATTCTGTTATAAAATCCTCCCCACAGATGGGACATGGTCATATTCCCCTTTTTCCCTCTGCAGAATTTCAGCCTCCAGGACTCCATTAAAGATGCTGAGCACTGTGGGAGCTTGGCCATCAGGGACAGCCAGGAAAAGCTCCAGAAGCTGGAAAATGCTCTCCAACAGGCCAAGGATGACCTTTCTCAACTTGTCCATGATTACCAGGACCTCCTGAATGTGAAGCTGGGCTTGGACATTGAGATCGCCATGTATCGATCACTCCTTGAGGAGGAGGAGAACAGGTGGGGGCAAAATCCATGCTGGAAGAAACACCCAGACAAAGTAGCGTGTCCATGGATCTGTCACTGGGATCTCTGGGGTGGACTGGGACTGGGAGGAATCACCTTTCTGCAGATAATTGATAAATGGGTTTAAATTCAGGTTAAACATGAATTTTAATTCTGATTTTATTGGCTGCTTTACCTCAATGTAATTTTTCCTCCACAGGATCCAGGAAGGATCACCGGCCACGATATGTGAGTATCCCAAGGATTTTCACAGGGTTTTTTAAAGGCAACTGTTCCGACTTTGTGATCTTGACATCATTGGAACTACCAATCCCAGTTTCCATCTTAATTCAGGAAAGGATGCAAAGGGGAATTTATGAAAACATGTTATTATAACATCTGGCTTTAGAATTATTGGCTAATATCTAATAAATTTGGAGGACATGGGAAACACCACATTTAACCCATAGGTCTGTTTGATTGCAGGGCAGAAGGGAAGGAAATAAAAACTAGTCCCAAGATTTGTGGAAAAGTTGAGGAAGCTGAAGGAGAGAAAAACATAATCTTGGCCTCTGCAAATGCTGGGCTGCACTGAGTGTTCATGTGTGGAATAAGATATACGTTGTGTTTTTAAAAAAGTTAAAACTAAGAAAAATGATAAAATATTCCATAGTCTGATCTCTGCTATGGGAGATTCTTGTTGGGCACCTTCAAAAATAAGTCCATGACCACCAAGGTAGGAAGGATGACATTTAAACCAGCCCTGCTCAGAATTTTTTGGGGTAAAAATAAGAAATTGAACCTAATTTCCATTTCTTGCAGGTATCATTGACCACGACAGCAGAGCTCCTGGGGTATTTGGAGGCATAAAAAGTGTGAAGGGGAGAATGAGCTCTGATAGTACCAGTGCGACCAGAATGAAAGGGCTAATCTCTGGAGGGGGAAATGGAGGTGGAAAAGGCTCAGGACATGGTGGAGGATCTAGCTCTGGTGGAGGTGGGTCAAGTTATGGAGGTGGAAAAGGCTCAGGATATGGAGGAGGAAGCTCTGGCAGTGGAGGCTCCATCTGTGGAGGAGGAGGAAGCTCTGGCAGTGGAGGCTCCATGTCCAAGGGGAGCAGCTGCTCTGGAGGTGGAGGATCTAGCTCTGGTGGAGGTGGGTCAAGTTATGGAGGTGGAAAAGGCTCAGGATATGGAGGAGGAAGCTCTGGCAGTGGAGGCTCCATCTGTGGAGGAGGAGGAAGCTCTGGCAGTGGAGGCTCCATGTCCAAGGGGAGCAGCTGCTCTGGAGGTGGAGGATCTAGCTCTGGTGGAGGTGGGTCAAGTTATGGAGGTGGAAAAGGCTCAGGATATGGTGGAGGATCTAGCTCTGGTGGAGGTGGTGGGTCCATTTCTGTTGGAGGGAAAGGTTCAGGATCCGGAGCGGGTGGATCCAGTTCAGGTAGTGGAGGCTCCATATCCAAGGGTAGTAGCATCTCTGGAGGTGGAGGATCTAGTTCTGGTGGTGGTGGGTCAAGTTGTAGAGAAGGTAAAGGATCAGGATATGTGGGGGGAAGTTCAGGGCATGGAGGTTCCATGTCTGGAAGTGGTCAGAGCTCTGGTGGTTATGGATCTGGCTCCAGCAGTGGGAGATGCAGCCCCCGCAGTGGTGGGATGACCTCAGGAGGAGGAAGCAGCTGTGGCATGAGAGGGTCCACCTCCAGAGGTGAAGGACAGGGAAGTTCTTGTCACAGAGGCTCCATGTCTGCAGGTGGCCAGAGCTCTGGTGGCTATGGATCCAGCTCTGGCAGTGGCAGATGCAGCCCCCACAGTGGAGGAATGAGCTCTGGAGGTGGGAGTAGTTGTGGGAGGAGAGGGTCCGTATCTGGATGTGGAGCACAGGGAAGTTCATGTCATGAAGGCTCCATGTCTGGAGGTGGACAGAGTTCTGGAGGTTATGGAGCAGGGTCTGGGAGTGGCAGCAGCAGCACACACAGTGAGGGCATGAGCTGTGGAGCTGGGAGCAGCTCTAGCAGGAGACGGTCCATATCTGGAGAAGGAGCACAGGGAAGTTCATGTCATGGAGGCTCCATGTCTGGAGGTGGACAGAGCTCTGGAGGATTTGGATCAGGCTCAGGGAGTGGTGGGAACAGTTCTGGGGGAAGAATCAGCTCTGGGTATGGAGGAAGCTCAGGCCGTAGAGGACTGAGCTCTGGTGGTTGCATTGGTGGTGGAGAAGGAGGCTCAGGGTATGGAGAAAGCTCAGGTAGGAGAGGTTCCATCTCTGGAGGTCATGGGGGATCCAATTATGGCAGTGGTGGAGGAGAAGGAGGCTCAGGGTATGGAGGAAGCTCAGGTAGGAGAGGCTCCATGTCTGGAGGTGGTCACAGCTCTGGAGGGTTGGGATCGGGCTCTGGCAGTGGAGGGAGCAGTTCTGGGGGAGGAATGAGCTCAGGGTATGGAGGGAGCTCAGGCAGTGGAGGACTGAGCTCTGGCGGTTGCATTGGTGGAGGAGAAGGAGGCTCAGGGTATGGAGGAAGCTCAGGTAGGAGGGGCTCCATGTCTGGAGGTGGTCACAGCTCTGGTGGATACGGATCAGGCTCTGGCAGTGGCAGTTGCAGCCCCCACAGTGGGGGAATGAGCTCTGGTAGTGGTGGGAGCAGCTCTGGCAGGAGAGGCTCCGTCTCTGGAGGTCATGGGGGATCCACTTATGGCAGCGGTGGCTGTGTTGGTGGAGAAGGAGGCTCAGGGTATGGAGGAAGTTCAGGATATGGAGGTGGCTCTGGCAGGAGAGGCTCCATGTCTGGAGGTGGAGGAGGAAGCTCAGGTCATGGAGGATCCAGTTATGGCAGTGGTGGTTGCATTGGTGGTGGAGAAGGAGGCTCAGGGTATGGAGAAAGCTCAGGTAGGAGAGGCTCCATATCTGGAGGTCATGGGGGAACCAATTATGGCAGTGGTGGTTGTATTGGTGGAGGAGAAGGAGGCTCAGGGTATGGAGGAAGCTCAGGTAGGAGGGGCTCCATGTCTGGAGGTGGTCACAGCTCTGGTGGATACGGATCAGGCTCTGGCAGTGGCAGTTGCAGCCCCCACAGTGGGGGAATGAGCTCTGGTAGTGGTGGGAGCAGCTCTGGCAGGAGAGGCTCCATTTCTGGAGGTCATGGGGGATCCACTTATGGCAGCGGTGGCTGTGTTGGTGGAGAAGGAGGCTCAGGGTATGGAGGAAGTTCAGGATATGGAGGTGGCTCTGGCAGGAGAGGTTCCATCTCTGGAGGTGGAGGAGGAAGCTCAGGTCATGGAGGATCCAGTTATGGCAGTGGTGGTTGCATTGGTGGTGGAGAAGGAGGCTCAGGGTATGGAGGAAGCTCAGGTAGGAGAGGCTCCATGTCTGGAGGTCATGGGGGATCCAATTATGGCAGTGGTGGTTGCATTGGTGGAGGAGAAGGAGGCTCAGGGTATGGAGGAAGCTCAGGATATGGAGGTGGCTCTGGCAGGAGAGGTTCCATCTCTGGTGGTGGTCACAGCTCTGGAGGGTTGGGATTGGGCTCTGGCAGTGGCGGGAGCAGTTCTGGGGGAGGAATGAGCTCAGGGTATGGAGGGAGCTCAGGCAGTGGAGGACTGAGCTCTGGCGGTTGCATTGGTGGAGGAGAAGGAGGCTCAGGGTATGGAGGAAGCTCAGGTAGGAGGGGCTCCATGTCTGGAGGTGGTCACAGCTCTGGTGGATACGGATCAGGCTCTGGCAGTGGCAGTTGCAGCCCCCACAGTGGGGGAATGAGCTCTGGTAGTGGTGGGAGCAGCTCTGGCAGGAGAGGCTCCATTTCTGGAGGTCATGGGGGATCCACTTATGGCAGCGGTGGCTGTGTTGGTGGAGAAGGAGGCTCAGTGTATGGAGGAAGTCCAGGATATAGAGGTGGCTCTGGCAGGAGAGGTTCCATGTCTGGAGGTGGCTTGAGCAGGAGGGGCTCCATTTCTGGAGGAGGAGGAGGAAGCTCAAGTCATGGAGGATCCAGCTATGGCAGTGGTGGTTGTATTGGTGGAGGAGAAGGAGGCTCAGGGTATGGAGGAAGCTCAGGATATGGAGGTGGCTCTGGCAGGAGAGGTTCCATGTCTGGAGGTGGTCACAGCTCCGGAGGGTTGGGATCGGGCTCTGGCAGTGGTGGGAGCTTTTCTGGGGGAGGAATCAGCTCTGGGTATGGAGGAAGCTCAAGCAGGAGAGGCTCCATCGGGTATGGAGGAAGCTCAAGCAGGAGAGGCTCCATCTCTGGCGGAGAAGGAGGCTTAGGTTATGGAGGGTCTGGTTATGGCAGTGGTGGTTGCATTGGTGGCGGAGAAGGTGGTTCAGTATATGGACGGAGTTCAGGGTTTGGAGGAGGAAGTTCCAGTAGGAGAGGCTCCATATCTGAATGTGGAGAAAGAGGGAGCTCAGGCTATAGTGGATCCAGTTATGGCAGTGGTGGGTGCATTGGTGGGCGAGAAGGTGTCTCAGGGTTTGGAGGAGAGTCAGGATGTGGCGGAGGCTCTGGATATGGGGGAGGGTCAGGGCGTGTAGGAAACTCTGGGTATGAAGGAATTTCAGGCTATGGAGGAGGAAGCTCAGGTAGGAGAGGGTCAGAGTCTGGGGGAGGAGGAAACTCCACCTCTGGAGTTTCGGGACTGAGCTCTGCTGGCACCTGCAGCCCTGGCAGTAGTGGAGAAAGAGGTTGGGATTGCTCTGTAGGGGACAGTTGCTACAGAGCAGGGACTAGTGGAGATGGGACACCCATCTGCAGAGATGAGACAGAGGAACGCAGGTCAGGAGGAGGGTGGTCTTCTCCAAGCACATGTTACTGGTCTGCCTATGGAGGTGGCTCAAGTTCATCTGGAGATGCTGCCCACAAGTAAAACTTGGATGCGAAATCTCACCAGTGGAATGGGATGAAGACAGTCCCTCCTTGTCAGGGGCAATGGGACTTTCCTGCTGTCACCACTGGTCTGGATGGGCTGTGGATCATCCTGAGCTCTCACTGCACAACCACCCCTGGACTCTCCACCCCACTCCTCTGCTGGATGCTGATATTGTGATGGTGTCCCTTCCTTGGGCTTTCTCAGAACTTTTAATCTCAGGCTGTGTGGAACCTTTATCTTTAGCAACTAAAAGCTTGAAACCTTGTTTGGTGTGTTTGTTTTGGTCTGGGGGAGGGAAGGACTCTGATGTCTCTAATGAGATGTTTGATAGAACTTTCCATATGAATTCATGGAATTCTGATCCAGGAAATATTTCCAGGAAAAAGCTCCTGGAAATATTGAAAAAGTAGAAGGTGGCTGGGAAAGAATGACAAATGCCGATCGTCTGCTGTAAAAATGGGGTTTAAGGCCAAGTCCTTTAGGCCTGGTCTGACCAGTCAGCAAGGACACATGACTACACCTCAGTTCAATCATTCCCTCCAAGAGTCACTCATTAAATAACTTGAGGGCAGATCCTCTGTGTAGCTTTTTTTTTTTTGGCACTGCAGCTGCAGATGAAGAAAGGAGCAAAAAGTCCAGGAATAACAAAGTCTCATCTCAATTTTGGTTCAGTTTTCCCCCTGGAGTTCCAAGTTATGGTGAGATGGGGTGTACCCGAGAAAACATTTCTTGGCCAACATCTGATTTTGGGGATGGTCCTGTGCAGGGTCTTTGTTGCAGTCAGCAACCTCAGGATCTTGTCCAGGGAAGCAGCAGGATTCTGGGGACCATCATGTAACACCAACAAGACAGGCTCTCGGTTCATGAAACCATTTATTCAGCATTGGAACAAAGTCAGGTCCAGAACAGAGAGCTCCAAACAGAGGCACAGCAGGGTTTTTTGAGGGACAGAACCCCTGAGAATTTCCACCTTTGAGGGTGGAGCTCAGGGTCAGGGACCAGCAGAGGCACACCAGAGAACCCCCCCAGGGACTCAAACCCAATCAGAACGCCTGGGCCGCCCTTCACAAGGGGTTTGGGGTGGGACAATGTAACTCTTTGTCTCCCCTGAGGCCACTGCCACAGGTCATGAATTGGACCCAATGATCGTTGTGCGTCACCTACAATTCAGGACATTCCATCATTCTATGATCTTACTCACTGGTGATTTTTATGACAGGAAGCAAGATATTCCCTACATTTCTCCCAGAACCTCCCCTAAAGCCCAATCAAAAGTTCTAACAAAGCAGAGAGCAGCTGATTTTATGCCAAAATTTTGTTCAAGAAGCTTAATTTAATAATGTCTTAAATAAATAAATAATGTCTAAACCCTTGTTTAGCAACACTCTACTGAGATAACTGGAGTGTCCCAATCCCATTTGGAATATTTCATGTCCTTTCCCCTGTTGGCAGGAAAGAGGATCCTCTCGGAAAAAATTCCAACTGTGAAGGGTCCTGGGAGAGGCAGGAGGGTGAGGGGGAGGGACCCAGATTTCTGGGAAATCCACTGTGGAGCCTCATTCACAAAGTGCTGTAGAGCCACTAAAAAACATGGTATATCAATGGAATTATGGAACTAGTTTGGTTGGAAGTGATCTTTAATGGTAATTTTCTTTCATTAGGGACTCCAAGAGAGCTGGAGAGGGACTTGGAAAGAAGTGATGCGAAAAGGAGTGGGTTAGGGGATGGAAAGGAGGAGGGTTAGGTGGGACACTGGGAAGAAGTTATTTCCTGTGAGGGTTGTGAGGCTCTGGAATGGATTTCTCAGAGATTTCCCCATCCTTGGAAGTGTCCAGAGCCAGGCTGGATGGGGCTTGGAGCACCTGGGATAGTGGAAGATATCCCTGCCCATGACAGGAGGTGGAGCAGGATGAGCTTTAAGGTCCCTGCCATCCCAATGCATTCCATGATTCCATGTGGAGTGCTAAATCAAACCCTCACAGCAAAGCACTTTGGAATCTGCATGGAGGGAGCTCCAGACATTGTTGTTCAGTCAAAACTGGGTTTCACCCAGGTTCAGCTTCATAGCTCTCAGGAGGCTTCAGGATCCAGGTGAAACCTCAGGATCCAAATGAAAACCACTCTGCATCATCACAATCCTTTTTTTATCCAAGGGATCAGGCAAAACCTCATCTTTTATGGTAAAAAGTGGAGTAATTATGCACAATCCAGAGGGTCACAGGGCTTTGGTTTCACTGATAAATTAATTGTGCAGCCAGGGTGTTTTTCATCTCTAATCAGAAGAAATAAAATTTCATAAACAATAAAAATGTATTATTAATAAAAAGGAATAATAATACAAGTATATAATTAATTTTAAATTATCTGATTAATAATAAAATATTACACCAACAAAATAAATTATTGACAAAACATTTTATTAATAATAAATATTTATGATAATAAAGTATCAAACATGATAATATAATAATAATAAAAGTATTGAATATTAAAAAATTGGAATACTATAATTACCTGATCAATAATATAGCTATCAGATTAATAATTAAAATATTAGATTATGGATTAAATATTTGATTCATATTATAATATTTTTTCAGATTAATAATTAGAATATTGATTAATAACAAAAAAATGTCTGCTTAGTTTAAAAAAATTGGGTTTTGTTGCTTTTTTATAATTTTAACTTATTATAAAAGATCTGATTAATAGTAAAACTATGTTATTAATAATAAAAATATGAGTGCTGTGGTCAGGCCTGAGTGTTTTTTACTGATCTCATTTTTAGCATGAAAGGACAAAAAGGAAGAAAATTGGTAAGAAATGATCACTTTTGAAGGCAATTCCAGCATCCCATTCATGCCTGTCCCTTGGAGGGGATGAGTCATCTGCTGGAGATCAGATACAGCGTCTGCTCCAGTTGATGCCAGACTTTTGATTCCAAGGGGAATTGAGAGCAGCAACTGGGAACCCCCGAGGGGATTCAGTGCTGTTCACACACTTGGAGTATCCCAGGTACCACAGGGGAGGCTTGGAAGAGAATAGCCAAGCCTGTTTGCTCATCAGCAGAGCCATCAAGGGCAGCCTAGTTTCTGGAGACACGTGTTCTGGCACCTCCTTCCATATCCAATTATCCTTGTTGGAGTAGGAGGGGGAAACCTCATCTGGCATTTGAGTTGCCTAAAAATACCATATTTTAAAATATTTATAGTAGTTTTTTTCCTCCAGAAGCTCCTGATCCGGCTCCTGCTGGTCCTGCAAGGAGAGCATCTGGAACATTTTAGGACTTTGGACCACATGGATTTAAGAACAAGACAAATTTCTGGGTTTTGCACACAAATTTAAGTTCAAGATGAAGTTTTACATCTTGGGACCACAAAAACAGAAGACCAACACCAAAATTCAGGTCTTCAGACCACAAGTTTGAGATCAAGGTCAAATTTAAGGTGTTTAGACCAGAAAAATTTAAGACCAAAGCTAAATTCCAGGGTTTTGAACCATAGAGGTCTAAAACCAAGCACAAATTACAGGTTTTCAGACAACACAATTTTTCAGGTCTCTGCACCACAGAAATTTAAGATGAAGGCTGAGATTCAGTTTTTTTGACCATTCAGATTTGAGCTAGGGTGATCAAGCAGATGATTTTCTTTCGAGTGCCAAAGCACATTGAAAAATGTTTGGAAATCATCAAAAAAAGATGCAATGTTGATGTTTCCTTGACCATGTCCATTGCTGGCTCCTCATTGGCTCATCCCTAAGTTCATAGAATAACAGAATCATTGAATAATCTGAGCTGGATGGGACCCACAAGGATCATCCAAGTCCAGCCTCTGTTTCAAATGTCAATTTGAGATTACCCACAAAGTTTTTTTTATGGAAAATGTCACAAGATTGACTCCATAAGGCTGTAGACATTTCGAGGTTTGGTCTTCAGGGGTTGAGCTGAAGCATGAGAAGAAGAGGATCAAAAGAGGGGGCCCTCGGCTGTGTTTTCCATCACCACCAGGCTGTGAATGCCGAGAGAAGGAGTTTGCTGACACCCTGTGCCCGGGCAGAGAAGGAGTCTCTGGGAGTGCTGGTGGATGAACAGGATCTCAGGAATGGGGAGAGGACAGGGAGAAGAGTGGAGCTGGCAGAAGGTCACTTCTCTTTGGAGCTGGTTGTTGACTCTCTATTTGCTGGTTTTGTGCCAGAGGTTCACACGTGTTTTACAGAACATCCCAGGCTGAGTCAGCCTCGGAGCACGAGTCCGTGGGGAACGTCCTCTTCCATGGATTGAGGACCTCGCTGTCCAAATGCTGTCCTAAATATTATCTCCCTCTGCTGTAACAACCTCTTGCTTGTGGCATCCTGGAAGGTTCATGAGTGTTTCCAGGTGTGAACTGGTCGATCCCATGGAATCGCAGAGCTATGGAATATCCTGAGCTGGAAGGGATCAACAAGGATCTTTGAGTCCAACTCCTGGCCCTGCATAGACCCAAATCCCACCTAATCCTACTAAAATCCCACTAAAAAAATCCCACTAGTTACAAAATCCCATCTCCTGAGAGCATTGTCCTAATGTTCCTGGATCTCTGGTAGCCTCTTGGTCATGATTATTCCCTTGAGAGTCTGTTCAGTGTCTGACCACCTTCCAGGAAACAACCTTTTCCTGATGTCCAACCTAAACGTCCCTGACACAGCTCCAGCCATTCCCTGTGTCTCTGGTGCCCAGAGCAGAGATTGGAGCTGCCCCTCAGGACAAAGCTGCAGCTCCCAATAGTCTCTCCTCAGACTCCTCTAGCTGGGCAAATCCTCAGCTGCTTCTTGTGTGGGTCCTCCAGACCCTTCCCCATTCTCACAGCCCTCCTTTGGGTGCTCCAGGATTCTCCAGGATGCTTCTGGCACCCCCAGTAACCCAGCTAGGGGCTCAAATGCACTAGATACCACCATCTAGTGGGAGGAAAATGTTGCACTGTGCTAGTGTGGATCTGGTCTTTGCCCCAGTTCTCCCAGTCTGACTGGTGCAGTTTTTACATCTTTGCTGTACAGATGTGACCAGAACAACATGTTCCCTCCTGATTTACTTTGGCAAAAAGCCATGAAATTAGTCATGGCTGTATTGTAGCACCATGAAAATTGTGGGGATCATTGCTGGGCCTCTTTCCAAAATTCCTGGTGATGAGAAGAGCATTAATGAGCTGTGATTACCCTGGTACACAGGCCACATCCAACCCTTCCTATCCTGTGAGGGAGCTGCAGAAAGGTGACTGTTCTGACACAGGTAAGCTGAGTTCCACTAGCTGTGTGGGAGAAGTGGAGAAGACCTGGTGTTCTTCAAATTTGGGGACCTTTCACTGTCAAATGAGGCATAAATATTTTGTCTTCTACAGCAATTTGTGTGGGATGGAGTGGAACTGGGAGAGGGAGGAAGAGCTGATGTTGTGGCCCTGTAAGCTACAGCCCAAGGGTGGCATCAGGTGGCCTCAGGTACCTTTGGGGGACTTGGGGTTGTCAGGGGTCAAGTGGGTTGGGAGCCAGAAGAGAAGGTGATCTGGTGGATGAACCTTTTGTGACATCCAGGGCTGTGAAAACCCAAATTCAGAAGTTTGGCTTAGAAAAGTGGAAGAAAACTCAATGAAACCATCCACAACCTTTTGCAATTTGGGAAGACGACCCGGACCCAGCCATGACCATGTTGACCTTGGCCACAGGGAGGAAATAAAGACTGTATTTGAACTCTTTCTTTGCTTGAAAAGCTCCAAATTTTCAAGGCAGATGTTGTGAGAACCCTGCTCAAGGCCCTTGAGGTACCTCAGAAGTACCAGGAGGGGGATTCAAAAGAGCCCAAGGAGAGACAAACTGGAGGCACAAAATGAAGCTGAGTCAGAACAGCTCCAGGCCAAGTGTCCTCCCCTGGGCTTCAATCCTGCTCTTCCAGCTGGGAATGCCATGGACGCTGCCTCTGTTTAAATGAAACATCCAGACTTCAATTGCTGCCCTGTGTGGGTGTAATTGATAGTGCTGTCAAGAACCCCTAATTAAGCTGCTTGTCTTTCCAGCTGCCTCATCCTATCAATTATCTCCCGTGCTGGGCTGAGGGCAAAGTGTTCCAGAGCAGAACATTTGCAAATAATGAGGTACAGGGAAACTTTCTGCATCAGCTGCTCTTGGAAACAGAATTCCAACAAGGTTCCTGGTAACCAGATTTGTTTTTCATCAGCTTTCTTGTGAAAGGTGGTGAAAACTGTGTTGATGAGCCCAGGAACTGAAAAAATAAAAAATAAAAAATCCCTGAAAAACCAAGGAGACAAATGAAGAGGGGAAATATTATCCCATTTCTTGGTGATTGGAAATGCTTAAATGTTTAATGGTCACAAAAACACTGATCAAGGCTTGAGCCTATTGAAAAAATTCAGGATTAATCTGGTGGAGTAGCAGAGGAAAATTATTTCTTCTGATTGATCTGAAATGAAACCTTCACCATTTTCTGTTTTGGCAGGAAGCCACAAGCAGGGAGATGGAATCTTGGCTCCACCTCTTGGGCTCTCAGCAGCTCTGTGAAACTTCTCAGCCTTCTCCATCTGTCAAGACACTCCAATAAATCCCATTTTATTTGCCTTGAGCTATCTCAAGGGTTTTAATTACAAGCTCCCATATAAAGAAGAGTGACAAGGAGTAGCAGATGGATTAATAAGGAATTTTGCAGGATACAGGTTACTGGTTCCTTTATGCTCTGCCCACCACAGCCAACTTACCGCTGCTCTCAATTAAATGATTAACCAATGTCCAATTAACAGCCATGGGACAGAGCCTCCTAATTTCAAAGCTCTTTATTGTCTTCTCCATGTGAGTTTTTTTCCCCAGGTGTTCTACACAATCAAAGCCAAAGACTTAACAAGAATCACAGAGTCATAGATTGGGTTGGAAGGGAACTTAAAATTCGTCCAGCTCCATCTCTGCCATGGGCAGGGACACCTTTCAACTTCCAGGGTGCTCCAAGCCCCATCCAACATGGCCTGGGATACTTCCAGGAATGGAACAGCTACAGCTGCTCTGGGAAATCCATTCCAGGGCCTCATCACCCTCACAGGAAGAAATTCCTGCCCAATATCTCATCCAACCCTACCCTCTGGCAGTCAGAAGCCATTCCCCCTTGTCCAGTTCCTCCATCCCTTGTCCCAAGCCTTCTCCAGCTCTCCTGGAGCCCCTTTAGACACTGGAAGGGATTCTAAGGTCTCCCTGGAGCCCCCTTCCCTTCCCTTCCCTTCCCTTCCCTTCCCTTCCCTTCCCTTCCCTTCCCGCACCTTCCC